AAATTCGTTATTTTTGGTCCTTAAAGTTTTTTTTTAGCGTTTTTGTCCTTCATCCGTTATATGCTGGCATTGCACCTTTTCTTCATAAAATCTGCTTTAAATATAAATAAATTAACTTGCTGAAATGGAAAATAACTTAAAGGTTTAAATACCATTTTGGTCCCTCAACTTTTCACTTTGATACTAAAATTGTCCCTCAACTTTAAAAAATACCAAAATTATCCCTAAACTTTCATTTTCAATACCAAAACGATCCTTTTATCAATTAAATGGATAGGTGGCACGTGAAAATGTCACAAAATCACTAGATTTTTTGAATCTTAATGACATGTAAATCCGACTAAGAAAAATTTATCACCATGGCATGTTTTTTTACACGTCAGATTGTCACCTTCTTAGCTTTCCCTTTTAATGGGGCCCACATGACATTTTTTTAACTTACCCACATGGCATTTTTTTTAAATGACGTGTAAGTTAAAATATTTTTTTATTTATAATTTGACATTTTCTATCTTTATTTCACAATTTTTCAACCTTAAAGAAAAAAAAAAAAAAAACTTCATCTTCTTCCTCCTATCCTCTCTTTCTCAATCCTTCAAGTAGTAGGCCTCCTTGTTTCTCTATCAGCCTTCCTCCTTTCTTTCTCAACTCATCCTTCTTCTTTCTTCTTCTTATTCTTTCTCTCTCTCTTCTCTCTTCTCTCTTCTTCTTTCTCTCCAGATCTAGGCTTTCTCAAACCCAAATTTGGGTTCTCTCAACCCAGCTTCAACAACAGTTGCCCCTTCCTTTAGCAAATTAATAAACGAAACTTCAGCATCTAGTAGATATGGACACAAATATAGAAGGTTCTCCTTAAACCTTCAACTAAATTTTGCCAAACAATTGGTGACTCATTTAAGAAAACAAAAATTTCTAAGAAAAACTTACTTTTATTTCATAAAAATGTTCCCTTTTTTACCTTTGAAATGGAAACCCAATTTCTCTCTTGATTCTCAAACTTCAAAATCCTAGCAAGAAATGACACTTAAATAAGTAGAAAGTGAAAAAGCCAAGATAAGCAGCATCGAAACAAGTTACGATCTCTCCATCACCACCTTCTCTTTGGACGGCAGAGTTTTCCAGATCGAGTACATCACTAAGGTCGTCAATAACAGTGACTCTATTTTATTTCTGTTTTGATGTGCATTTAGCTTGTAATTTCAATTTCCTTAGGATTTTTTTTTTGTTGTTTTAGAATTGTGATTGGTATCAAGTGCAAAGATGGGATCGTTATGGTATGCTTTATTGTTCCTAATTTTGGTATTTGTTGAATCTTGCTTGTGGATTTGTATGTGAATATAATTCGTGGATTTGGGAGTTTCAAGGTGTGGAAAAGCTCATTGTGTTGAAGATGATGTTGCCTAGTTCCAATCAAAGAATCCACTATGTTCATTGTCACTCTAGCATGGTATTTGGGTTGAGAGAACCCAAATTTGGGTTTTCTCAAACCCAAGTTTGGAGAGGAAGATGAAGAGGGAAGAGAGAAGAGAGAGAGAAAGAATAAGAAGAAGAAAGAAGGATGAGTAGGGAAAGGAAGGAGCAAGGAGGAAGGAGGAAGGTTGATAGAGAAATGAAGAGGCCAACTGTTCGAAGGATTGAGAGAGAGACATGAAAGGAGGAAGAAGATGCAGTTTTTTTTTTTCTTTAAGGTTGAGAAATTGTGAAATAAAGATAAAAAATGTCAAATTATAAATAAAAATGTATTTTAACTTACATGTCATTTAAAAAATATGCCATGTGGGTAAGTTAAAAAAATGTCATGTGGGCCCCATTCAAAGGGAAAGCCAAGAAGGTGACAATCTACCGTGTAAAAAAACATGTCACGGTGACAAATTTTTCTTAGTTAGATTTACATTTCATTAAGATTCAAAAAATCCAGCGATTTTGTGGCAATTTAACGTGCCATCTGTTTATTTAACTAACGGAAGAACCATTTTGGTATTGAAAATGAAAATTTAGGAATAATTTTGATGCTTTTTAAAGTTGAGGGATAATTTTAGTGCCAAAGTGAAAAGTTGAGGGACCAAAATGGTATTTAAACCTAACTTAAAAAACTAATGCTAATTTGCATAAAAAATGATGATGTGTGAAATTGGACCTACTAAAACAAATTAGAAAAAAAATACCGTATCATTCTACAAAAACAAAAAAGGACAAATATATCCTTCTTCATCTTCTTCCCCTCTCTTCCTCTCGCTTCCTCTCTCATCGTTATGGATTAGACAAAGGCATAGATCGGTGAATCCCAAGGTCGGTCGGATCGGTGTAACCCAAGTTATGAATCGGACCTCTGTAGATCTGTTTGGCATTTTTTACTATAAATTTACTCTAAAATTGACTTTAATTAAAGCAAAAGCAAAAACAAAAAAGGAAAAAGAAAAAGAAAAAATCATTCACAATTTTGTTCTTCGAAACAGAAACGGATCTATTACTCTTCATCCCATTCTTGAATTCTTAGACATAAAAACTGAGATTGAAATCGAAGTCAAATTCAAATTCTTCATAACCTCATATTAAAATAAAATTTAATCATCAAATTTAACTTCATGTCTCTTCAAATCAAAACTCAAAAAACAAATCCAAAAGATTCTACATATTCAACAAAAAAATCCAAAATCTGACGAAGACGAAGCGTTTCCATCTCACTCTCCCTCCCTAACTACTGCAACAAAAAGTCAAAAACCGTTGATTCAAAAACCTCAGTGAAGCAAACCTGTATTCCAGTGAACTCAACAAGTAAACCCACGTTTGAAACTTTTTTTAAGAAAATTACTGCTAAAATAGTTATTTCGTTTGCTATTGATATAATTTTTATTGATTGGCTTTTCAAACATATGCTAGAATTGGCCTCCCTAGTTTCTCCCGTGCATTGCTTCTAGAGTTGAGAGCAGTGGCGACGGGTTTTCCTCCCTAGGGTTTCTCTCCAACATAGGAGTTCCTTCATCTCTCTTTTCTTCTTACCCCTCCTTTCCTCCTCTTGATCTCCTCCTTCCTCTTGCCACTGTCTTGCTTTGGAAACTCCAACCCAAGAGACCACAAGGCAACAACTTTTTGGGTTTTTTAGGGTTTACATCTGTTGATTTTCGAAGGTTGCAATTAGAATTAATCTTGCTAGTGATGTGGGTTTCTCCTATTTAACGGGTAAGAATCTCGCTTTGGTGCATCTCCTCGGATGAGATCTTGGTGGGGGTCGAATTAGGCAAATCTTGTTCACACCAGTTCCCGATCAGCTAGCTGATTACCGAAGGAAAGGGATGCTGTTGGTAAGGTCAGTTATGGTCTGCGTGGGAAGCTTGATTTTCAAGTTGGCAAAGGGGCTCTAGTTCCCTTAATGAGTTTCGACAGCATGGGTTTGAAGAGGATCGACAAAGATGGGAACATGATTGGGAGTATATAGAGGCGGTTGTGAGGTTTTGTGCTTGTCAGGAAAAGGCCCATACCCTTCTTGGTTGTTCTTCTTTAACAATAAGTAAGCAGGCAACTTGTGAGTTGGAGATTGTTTGTTGTCAGAATCTCTTACTCTTTTCAAGAAGCTGATTAAATAGATGAGAATGTCCAGGAGTTCTTAATGCTTATAGTGACTCCCTTTTATACATTAGTAGCCATATTTAGCCCATATAACGATTATAAATTCAATCCCTAATTGCAAATGGCTTTCTTTGCTCAATTGTCTATATCTATCATAAGTATAGTTTAAGTCTGTTATTAGTGTTATAAGTTATGCTTTTGATTTTGTTCTTAGATTATTTTGATTTTAACTATATGCCATGAGATGAAAATTCTGTTGTAATTTCTAATTACTTAATATATTTTTCTATTTCTCATAATATATATATATATATATATACTAGAATTTGGCAAATCCCTCCATTCGCGTAAGGCCAGTTTAGAATTCGATTATTAGAGTTAATTATGATTTAATGAGCGAGTGGGCCCAATAAATATACTAGCATAATTGATATATGGTAATATAAGGATAGTTTTTTAAAAAATATTCAAGAATGATTTTTTTTATTTTTTATAGTTTTATTTATTATTTAAATAATTAAATTTTTTTAATTTAAATTTTTAATATTAAATACATTTACTCATTTAATTATATGTAAAGATTATATAAAAATATTATTCATATATCATTGTCCTAATTTTTTTATAATTTTTTATATAATTTATATATATATAATTAAATTATTAAATAAATATACTTAATATTATATATTTTAAATAAATAAATAAATTATTAATCTAATTAATATATAAAATTATATAAAAAATAATAATAAAATTATTCTTAAATTATTTTGTTAGCTTAAATAAATGCGGTAAACAGAATAATTACGTGGGCAATAAATTTTTGCCACATCATCAGTGTTTCACTGTTGGAGTGTCCGTGTAATTATTTAAAAGAAAATTTCACCCAAAAAATTTATTTAAAAGAAAAAGTAAGTTTTCGCCGTCAATTGACGTATCATTTTAATGAAAAACAAAATGCTACGACTAAAATAGGGCCAAAAATATAAACATGGACCAAAACAAGAAATTTTTTAAAAAAAATTTAGGGACCAAACCAGGTCCTTGTCATAATTGAGAAACTAAATTAGTCGTTTAATCTATTTACTGTACAATATATTTGATTTGAGCAAAAGAGATGGGTGGAGAATTAAATTCTTCCATTTTCCTTTATTTTTATTATTTTATTGGGATAAATAAATTAATTAAAAAATATAATAAAAGACTTTTTTTTCTTCCCCTCCCCTCATTTCTATTTCCCTCAACACAAGCATATTAATTTAGTAGTTTCATTTTATTAAAAAAATATAATTGTCATTTATGTATTGTATTAAATTATTATTTAAATTTTTTGTTTAAAATATTTTAAAAATCAAACCAACCTACTATTATTGGATGGATCAAAAGAGTATTAATAAAATTGATCTTTTTGTTGTTCCAAAAGAAATTGATACTCATACCAAACTTTATTTAGGAATCGAGTTACAAACGTCGATATGGCATTTCAGCTATTGTAACTAAAAACATATATGAAGCCAGCCAGAGCAACCAACTCAACACCAGTGAAAAATCAAGGAGTAAAGCCTCTGGTTCAAGACGAGGAAAGGTACATATATTCATATCACAGTCTCATAAAAAGGATGAAATGTTAAAATACAACCAAATAAAACACAAAAATTTAGAATTCCAACACAACTAACCAAACAAATTAACTATAGAATTTCAACCTGGAGTTAAAACATGAAACTGTTTGATGTTGTATGAAAATCTTGCTTCACTTATATACAAAAAGAAAATTTTAAAAATTATCATAGTGTTAAACAATTTCTTAATGCTACTGTTAAATAGGAAAGGAGAGATGATCATCTTAAATCATTGGAGTTCTCTCTGCATCTGTAATACTGGACTAGAGATTCCAACGTATTTAAAACAGGAGCCAAACCTCCTGCCACACGTAAAATATTGTTCCCATCTATATCTAATTTATTAACATTTTCGGCCTTCCATGCCTCATTAGCACCATAATTGCGGTAAAAAACTTTTTCTTGGCGATGTTGGACTGCAACCATGAAAGAGAGTCTGTCATCATTATTAGTTTTAAAACCAAATGATGGGTTGGCTTTATAGAGCTCAATTACAAATTCAACTATTCCATGTTTGGTGGCTTCAAAGAGTAGAGCACCCACTCCATAATCATCACGCTGATGATTCACTTCGAAAGCTGTAACATGATTACACATGCAGTACAAAACCTCACATGCATAGCAATGTCTCAATTTCAAATCATAAATTTGTTTGATTCCTACAAATATAAAGTCAAGAATCAATCAACATATACAAAATTAATAGAATAGAAGATTTACCAGTAGAAATGCTAAAATTATAAAATAAATAAATAAATCAGTAGTTGAGGAGAAATTACCAAAGAACTCTTGCACCTTTAAACCCATTTCCACGAAGTCCGTTAAAAACTACAACAATGTTAATTAAACCCTGTTATAATTACATAAAATAAATCTGAAATGCACTTATATAAGCTCAGTCTTCCGTTCTCAAACAAGAAACTGATATTTGTATCATAATTTGAGAAATTAATAAATGGTATATACCTCGTTTCCTAATGTTCCTTTTGTCGTAGCCTTGGTCAGCAACATCAAGTTGTATATCACTGGTGGGAGTTTGGTCAGTAACATCAAGTTCTATGTCTCTGGTCGGAGTGGTGGTTATTGTTGGTAACTCTACCTTTAAGCCTTCAATACATTAATTGGATCAATAGCCACACAACAAAATTTAAAAATTAATTGTATACAACTGAGAATATTGATGCTGAGTGTGTTACTTACAGATATATATACTACAATATGTCTTCAATAATGCTGTAGTCAGTTGATGTAATGGATTGGATTACCTTTCTATCACAGTAATAAAAGTTTTTTTTTCTTAGAAAAATTACTTAATTGTGAGTTCACTAGACTTTTCATTCTTATTTAATGAAAGTCTAATTTTAAGTTTGGAAATGCTAGAATTAATTAAATCAAAATTTTATAGGAGATGCTCATAATACCTTTTTTGGTGTAATAGTTATACAAATTTTATATAAATTTTTTTAAAATTTATTTCAACTCAAATAAATGAATTGATATATATATATATACATTTGTTTAATTTAATGTGAAATTTGTAAAATTTATAATTATTTGTCATTGTCAACTTGTGATTATCAGAATCTCACAATCAATAAAAAGAAACTTTTTCCCACTCTTCCTTTCTCCTATTGAGCCGACCGTTGGCATCTCATGGGTTGTACTTCTTAAAAATGGTAACTAGATCAGGACGGATGCCACTGTCATTAAACGGCCCACTCATCAGTCCAGTGTTCAAACCATAGCCCAAGAGAAAGGCAAAAACCCCACGTTGAACCCCTGAATTGACCACAAATTATTAATTAAGTTCCAGATTTTTTTTTAAAGCAAATAAACCCATGAACTCCATGATCTGTGCAATGTTACCATCTTCTTATATCTTTCTTTGCTTGCAACTTTGCAGTCCACCATTAAATAGAAGGCAACATTGCACAGATGTAGGGTTCAAGGGCTTATCTGTTTTAAATAGATATATATATATATATATATATATATAAGAGTTCAATTGAAAACATAGAGTCAGTTTAGGGGCTTAATTGGGGTGTTTTGCCCAAGAGAAATAACTCTCTTAGTTCCCTTAAGCCTGAACTCAGCTCCAGATTTCAAACCTTACCCTTATCTCCGAGGCAAAAACTTATTTTAGCCCCTTACCTTACCAAATCTGAAGGTTTTAGCCCACACTTTATATTATGATACTTTTAGGTCGTCACCTTACTAGATTTATAGGTTTTAGCCTATCACTTATTAAAATTAAAGAAAATAACTCTCACTTTATACTGATTGTTGACTCTGTTAGCTGAAAGTAGGTTTTTATCAATTAACAGTCAACTAATAGTCAGTTAACAGAATTTTTTTTTTTTGATCAGCAAAGTGAAAATCATATTATTGTAGGAGTATAAGAAATACTCCTTCATACCAGTACACTGTCAAACCGAAAAACAAAATCCAGCAGAAAACAAAATAGAGATTAAAACCCAATAACCCAAATACAAACCAAATAGAACTGAGGAATCATAACATGAGACGTTGTAGCTGCTTGTAGTTCTTCAAATCTTTACGGTATTGAACAATAGCTTCCCTACAAACCATTGGGTTTGATACC